AAAGCGGAACGTTATTTGCACTTTTTTTTATGCAGCAACCACGCGAAGGTCTCACGTCTACAGCCACAGCTGCTGCAGCACCTCCGCCATTGCCGACGCCAAAATGTTTACACCCGTGACGCCCCCCCCCCCCCCCCCCCCCCCCCCCCGAGGAGGCGGCGCTGATAGTATAACCTCCTTTCCCACCTTCACACCTCCTTTCCCATGCGCAGGAGATCAAAATGCGCCCACTTGCAAGGCGCAAAGGATTGTTTTATTTATTAAAAAGTTAATTAAGGAAGTTTCGTTAAATATCCGACTTACCGCAAAGATTAAGCACCCCCATAACGTCCCCTTCCCCGAATAACTCACTTGCACGAGCCGTATTGGTGAATCTTTTACGAATTTTTTGTTAGAAATCTGTTCAAACTAAAATAAAACACACCGCTATATATTGCAGTATTTAAACGCACATAGAGGGGTTGTTGGTATATTTAAGCGCATCAACTGAGCCGACGCTTCGGCCTGAGGCAAGCCTTCTTCAAGTCTTGTTGCGCATATTCTTAGTTCGATACACCTGGATCCCATCACGTGTCCCATTTACCAATATCCCAATAATGAGAAATGATGAAAGCCTATTATGCTTGGCCAACGCTAGCAACTAAATCCCTAAATCCCAAAGTCCCGTAAAAAAGGTATAGCTACACGTATCAATATAACCGCTAGCCCGGGGTCTTTAACTTGCACCAAGCGGTACCGCTACTGCATGGTGCACGTTTTAGAGCGCAGCTCTTAGGCGACCGTTTCCGGCTTGAGCGGCGTCGGCGTTGCCGTCGGCGTCGGCGTCGCCGTCGGCGTCGGCGTCGCCGTCGGCGTCGACGTAACCGCGCGGTGCATTATGGGTAAATTTCCCCGCTAAACTTAGCGGAAAAGTTTCAACGCTAAATTTAGCGGAAAGCTTTCCGCGCTAAATTTAGCGGGGAACTTTTTCCGCTAAATTTAGCGGGAAAAAATTTCCCCTAAATGGGAGGCGAGCTGGAGAGAAGGAGGGGCATAGCCTCCTCTCCATACCTTCCCCTCCTCTTCCTCAAGAGCTACGCTCTAATTCGGCGTTACAGGGAGTTGTAAACGGCTTTCTTTTCCTTTTTTAGCCCCATTTAAAAATGGGGCTGTAACGTGAACCGCGCAGTATAGGATACTGTGTGATGTACCTTAAAAACCCGGGCTAGCGGTTGTACTCCATTGGCAAAATTTCTCATCTTCAGCTAAGGCACCGAACGCCCATTGCGGCTAACTTCCGACAGTGTCTAAACGTACACACAACACTTTTTATGCGTTAAACGCGGTAACGCTAGACGCCTTTAGCAATTGTTCTTGCCACACGCGCGATTTACTATCAGTGGTCAAACGATCGTAGAAACCCAGGACCGAGTGCCTGACTTTCTGTTTACCTAATACTTTAGTGTTTTATATACCTAAACACCTTGTTCACCTCTTGACCGATTACTTGGCAACAGCAGCATATACCTTTATCGTTATAGCCTGAAAAACATAACGGAATTTCAATAGTAGTTTTTGTTTGAAGTCTGCTCAATAGCATATGTCTATCAAACCATCAATTTGCAATGTACTATGCAATACAAGACCTGTTAGGGTGAACAATACAAGGAAGTCATTTGGACCCGTGACAATTGGGGTTAAATTGTATTTAATGAGGTACATTTTATTCCCTAAAGACTTTCCACTATACTATAAGTCTTCTGAACTCCTTGAATAGGGGATTAAAATAATAAGATGCATAATAGTTGTTTTGAAGAACATAATTTTATTCAAGAAAACGTAAAAGAAGTTGTTTAATGAGAGGTCTTCAGATATAAAATTTGTATCAGGACGTAGCTAGTATAATAGTTTTGACAGTCTTACAGGATAAACTAATTTTGTTTATTTAAAAAGCAACCTAAAAATTTCAGGTTTACACGTTATAAGGAGTGAAGTGTCCTTCGATCAGACGCGTTTAAAGGGGTCATGAAACGCTTTTCCAACTTTTTCCTGTTTAGCTTTCCTCCTCAACTCATAAATCGCCCATTCCACCAAACAGTTAAAGAAGACGAAAAGAGGGGAGGCCCCTCTTGCTCGGAATCTGGTTTATGTACCCGGACAGAGCCATTGTCACCCTAGAAGATTAGCCCGTCTCTCAAAATTCAGACAAAAGTTGCTTTCCCCACCCCGTTCATTCCGAAGCTGACAGTGCTGTGGAAGCTACGTGCTCGTTGGGCCAGCCACACTTGCCACGTGAGCGTGGCAAATGTGGCTGCAGAGAATGAAGTCAGGTGATGAAAGGAAGGCGGCTGATTGGTCCGGCAAGCGCGTAGCTTCCAGCACAATGTCAGCTTAGGGGTGAAGGGAATAAGTGAGCTCCGTTTGCGTGTGACGTCAGTTTGGACCCGATGACGCGCTTTTGGGACCGCGGATGTATCGCAGTGAAAAGGCAGAGATGTTGCGAAGGGGAGGAGGTACGAAATAGTCCGCTCTGTTTTCGAATTTTCGCACTGAAAGCCGGGCTTTTGACTTTCTACTTTTTTTCTTTTGGTCCACTGAACGATATGTTATTAGTAAAATCCCCATCTAAAATGATTTATCCTAACCCGAAAATCGTTTCATGGGCCCTTTAAAGAGACCTGTAGAATAAACAAAATATATACTTACGCATGCCATTTAGCGCTTAAATTGTGAATTTCTATGCAGCCAATTTTCTTCCGTCTCTAGATTATGTCTTCTCTATATCGTAATAAATATTACATATTATAATAGTTTGTTAGTATATGAGTGTTTCAAGTGGTGACAATCTTTAAAAGACAAAATGTTTGAGAGCAATAACTAAGTGATCTACTTTATTATAAAGCGAAGTTTTGAAGATGCAAATAGATTTGTAACTTTAAAAGTAAGTGACTGAAAACAAAAGGTTTTTATCTATAAACAGGAAACTGCTACTTCCTTCTGCCTATCTAAAAAAAACGCGTAAATTATCTGCACATACTTAAATTAAAATAATAATTCATCTTCCTTAAAAAATAGGAGGTAGCACTAGCTAGATCTTCTTTAGTTTAGCTCCGACATATGTCTACATTTTTTTTAAAGGGAGACGTTGATTCTTACCATACACAAAATAAGCCTATATTTCTAATTATTGCTTCGTGCGAATCCCGAATAGAAAGAAATAAGAAATAAAATATATTATTTGAAACAGTATAAGAATTTTGAGCTTAAGTAGATTGGCACTTAATCTAAAAAAAAACAATGAATTGACCACGGGGAATCGGAGAGAAGGCGAAAGTGACTCTTCTATGTTGCTGCAGTGGTTTGAATCTTTAAAACAAATGCCTCAAGTGGAAAACGTTTCAGTAAAAAACTTGGCAGTTTTATACTTTAAACCAATGTTACGCAAAAATAGAGAGCGCGGGATGGCAAAAAAAAAAAAAAAAAAAAGCACGCTTTTTGTGTAGACTTGTGAAGTTATGAGGCGCTGTAAAAAACCAGCCTTCTGCTTTGTCTTTTTCTTTAAGTCCTTGTGTTCGCGTTTGTTCCGCACTTTGAAAAGCTTGCGGGAGGCGCCCCAGCACGCACTTTGTACCGCTGCAAAAAGACCGTCTGCTTTCATCACAGTCACCATGGCAACGAACGCCGAATGACCTTTTTGAACGGCGTGTGTATCACTCGGGAGTGTGTTAACTCCCCCTTCCCCCCTCCTCCTCCCCCCCAGCGTTCACGCCGATTCGCGGCGACAGTCTGCGGCTGTTAATTACAAAACAATTAAACTTCAACTAGCAGACGGCGTTCATAAAATCGGCGTTCGTTACCATGGTGACAACGGTGAAAGCAGACGGTCTTTACGCTGCGGAAGAACACTGCGGCACAGCGAGACGAGGTGCGTGCTGAGGCCCTTCCCGCATGCTTTTCAATGGGCGGAACGCGGACAGAAAGAGTTCGAAATTTGGACTTAACGCAGAAGGCTGGTTTTCTTCAGAGCCTAATAATTTGACAAGCCTTACGCGAAAAGCATGTTTTGAGAACGAAGTTTGGGGATTGCTTTTTTTTTTACAAGAACGTGGTTCTAAAGTATCAATGTGAGAAGAACTTAAATCCACGGAAATAATTTAAGATATATCTAGAATAATGTAGACTGACGCGCGTGTTGGTTGAGTTGATGAACACCGAAAGCAATATACAGGTTGGACGAGGGACGACGTACACTTTCTTCCGCTCAATCTTTCACGAAAAAAATAAAAAAAAAGTAAAAGATTGTGACCGTCGCGCCTTGTCCCACCTTTCTCATTCTTTCGGTGTTCCTCATATATAGTATAATTTCCCAATATAATAACATCACGGCTGTTCAAGGAACTGCGAAACAAATAGTCCCGAAGATGATTGGCACAACGTTTTGGTCAGATCTAATATAGTGGAGCAACTTGTTTCGTACCTTTCGAAAATGCAGTTTACCAGAGAACGATGCTTTTAAGCAAACTGCGTTATTTGTGTAAACCCACGTATTAATTAATGTTCCTTGTTTTACAAATATCAATAACTCCATATCAAATATAACGATGTCTATAATCAGAGAATTAGTGCGGGGGCGTACTGATATATTATTATGCCTGGTAGAGCTAGTCCGTGTTTTTTCTTTGTTGCCCAAATCACATATCAAGTTCGATGAAATGGTGTGCCTTGGCTTGGAGTCAGAGTCACGCATTATATAGCATATTTAAAGAAACAATTTTTTTTCACAATTTTTATCATCGTGATAATTAGTATAAGATTTTTGAGGAGCACTTGTACGAAATGCTGAATGGTGTATTTTCGACCGAATACATATTTACGCGGGCCAAACAATTGTCACTAAACGTTTTACAACTCTTCGAAATGAGTAAATTACAAATCTTCACTGTGTACAGAATATCTTGCTAGTTTTAGTGCTAGTTTTGCGAGATTGACGGTAATAATTTGTATTGTAGTCAGTTGAAAACTTACTTAGTACGTGGCAATCGTTTAGCGCACTTGTCATCAAACATTCTTCTATTGTTGCATTTACTGAAATAAAATAAAACAGTTGGGAGGACGACACATTAATAAGATTTGAGATACTTTAGAGTATTGTAAGGAACGATTACTAACGCGGGTACCTGTTATAAACCACTGCGTTAGCAAGCTGCGGCTCGGTAGTACGTGTAGCGAAAGTGCCCAGAAGACTCAAATATTCTGTTTCATTTTGGCTAAAGTTAGTTTTGACGTGGAACCCGCTGCAGTGACCACTAGAATCATTAAATAGGCTGGACGCTAAAGAGCCGAGGTCAACAGTCGTAGCGTGCCTGCCACGTTAACCCCACACAGCTGGGAAACGTCACGCTGCTTAAGGAGAAACTCTTTCGGTATAGAAGTAACAGTACATGCAGTTAGAGTCTTATTTTCCTCAACGCCCACGAAACTGGAATATATTACCTGCTATAAAAAACCAATAGTTTTCTCAAGGCCAGGATTGGGAGACATTTGCTTTAGTTCCCCCAGGAACTCCCAGATGGCGCGATGAGCGGACTACAAGCGAAGAAGCGGGAAGCGGGGTCGGACGCGGTGAGCCGATGATCGCCGCTAGGCACCCTTCGTCTTCCCCTTCCTTCTCCCCTCGAAGTGAGAGAGAAGTTTGCGGGTGGGGTGGGCGGTGGTCAACTGGGTCGGCTGGTCGTGCGGTCCAGCCGTCGGGCACAGGAGCACATCGCTTCAAAAAGGAGGTGTTCTAAGCAACCAGTCGCTTACTGTTTCTGGCAGGGATTTTTTTTTTTTTTTTTTTTTTGCTGATGTTGAAAAAAAATATTACTTTTATTTGATATGGGTCCGTCAGCTCTGACCAACTTATATTTTCCTAATTTAAAGGCAAATAATACGTGCCTAACAACACAAAACTTCAAACATATCATAACAACATTGACTTTCGAGTGTATCGGTCTGAAGATCAAGATGCAGTATGGTTGTTTCCGAATATATGCGTATATGCTTACGCATGTAACCTGGATTTGCAACTAAAACACAAAACCTTCTTACTCAGATTTTCAGGGGCCGCACTTGAAATATTCGACTCCGAAAGCTTTGCAAAGTAAGCATGTGTTTTGTATAGAGAACACTAGTAACGTCGGTGCTATAATACTGCATAAAGAGGCCAATGAATAACGTTCGTGTTAGAGGGGTACTAAAGATTCTACTGAACGTGGATTCATCGGATAACTTAGTAATCGCTTAACGCTGTTTTATTCATGTTCAGGTTAGGAAATTTATAAACGTTACAATTTCAAAGCCGATTTCCAGGCCTTCGCTGTGAATATTATATGAGCTTATCAGATTCACGTCTCAACATTAAAAGAACTAGCTTTGCCCCCTTTATCACGCGCTACAAATTGTGATGTCCTGATGATCACTACGTAGTTTCCATGAGCACAAAATTTTAGTATTTATTCTATTCACATTTCATTCTTCTGGATGGAAGTAAACAATCAAAACTCGTAATTAGCTTCTAAGGGGGCAAAAAAAAAAAACACATTCGCACATAAAAAGAAAGTTTTACATCTGAATTTTACAGTTGCGACCGCTGAAGTTGAAGAAAACTTTCTGATACGCGGTCAGTTGTCCAAAACTAAGACGCGAGTTTGCCTAAAAGTTTTTCTTCCAGGGTGAAAAGGGTTTGCTGTAAAGAAAAGAAAGAAAAACAAGACACAACGCTTTTTTGCGACTTTTAGGGTTACATTGTCCTCAACCTACTTTCCTACGGGACAGAAACAAAGCAAGCCCCTTCCTTATGCTTGCAAACAGCTAACAGCTAATATGCCTAGTGAAGCCTATAAAAGGATAACGGCCAGTCCGACTAAAGAGCTAACAACAATCCTGTATTGTGACGACTGAACGTAACATATGAATATGATATTGAAAAAAAAAACAAAAAAAACGTTATGTACCTTGGGGTGGCGTTGGAACAGAGGGAGAGGGGACGGGTTCGATAGCCCGCCCCTCTCCTCCTATAAAAATTGCAAAAATTCGAAGTAAACAATGCGATGAGGGGCCAGAAAAACGCTCTCGACTCGCCTAACACGTACACACACATTATCACCACCGTCAATGGCCGTTGCCACTGTCACCCCTGATATGGAAGCCGGGTAATTCAGACTTGGTAGGGCGCCTCCCCCCTCCCCCCTCCCCATACACACACATAGATACACCCCTCTTTCTCCCTCCCCTTTAAATAATATCGAGACAACTATGTGAATATGTAGGCCCAGGAAGTTTTTACATGTTCGACATCAAATGGAGTGCTACCAAGTGTCTAACCACGCCTTGTGTCAACGACACAAGCCAGTTTAGAAACTTGCCGGTGTCGTTCGACGTTTTCGGTCTACGATCTATGTCGACGTGTTTGATCTACGACATGTACTTCGAAAATAACACCCCCATTGTTTTAAAGGAACTTACTAGTTCGACAGGAGAGGAGAGTGAAATAATATCGCATGGAAGGTCACAGTACTTAGTTTTGGGGCGAAAGAAGAGAGCTTTCGGTTTATTGTCACTTATTTTTAGATTATTTGAACTAGCCCAAGTTTCTACGTTTTTTATGGTGTCATTAGCTATGCCCACGACTTCCCTGCCGAGACTTCATACTTTAGGAGCTTCTGGACGCGGATGGCCCTTCGACGCAAATAATCATGTACTCAGAGTAGCAGAGAGCGAAACGAAGGAGGGGGGTTAAACCACCAAGGATATTGCAACAGAGCCATCCCACGCCAAATTTCTGTTCACAAGGACATCTGGCTTACAGGATGGCGACCCCGCCTCGACACTTGAGAAGCGGTCCCGTCGCCCGAGGAGGGACACTCCTCCTCTGTTCGGAAATACCACTGGGAGTGAAATTCGCTTCGTCGGTTCTCTTCGCAGCCTCGGCCCGACGGACGGTGTACGCTAAGCGGATTGTTTTCCCGATACCCTATTCACGCCGTAGGCTGAAAATGGGGTGGAAGTTTCGCGCTTGTTAAACCACTCATACCGTCATCTCTTTGCCACGTGATCACGTTCTCGTCTATACTCACGCACAGAGATGGGAGTCAGGTGAGGAAAGAAAGGCGGGTGATTGATTCTACAAGCCCGTCGCTTCTACCGTACTGTCAGCTTAAGGGTCAACAGAGTAGAACCCAGGTAGTACGCGGATTTTTAAGCTTTAGAGCTTACGTTGACATAGGCTGAGTTTACATGGATGCGATCGTAGCGAATCGAATCGAGATTAACCGCCTATGATTGGGTAGACGAGGAAGGGAAAGGAGGATCGCGGGCGCGTGACTGGTCACATCTCGATTCGATGCGCCATGGTCGCATCCATGGAAACGTAGCCATAGTCTTCTGCTTTATTGTGCTTACTCCGTATTGTGAATTATCCATTATTGACTGTACAATACGCGTGTCCACAATCGGGGGAAGTTGACTATAACCGAAGGGAGAAAAGGTAACCAAAAAAAAATAACTAACGAAGCAGCCAGTCTGCTTTCTGCTCTTACAAGCAGTTTGGAGCGGATGTACATTTTTTCTGCACCCTTCCCGGATGCTCTGAACTGCTGTAGTAAAAACGAGAACACTATGGATTGGTAGCTCCTCTGAGACTCTTTCGCCGTAGGACGTGTATTTAGTCATTTCAATGCATATAGATTTGATGTGAACTTCTTGGAGCGGTGTTTAGGCGCACAAACTATTAATTTCACAATGAGTGCGCCAAGTACATTTTATTTTTATTCATTGTTTTTCTTCCCACCACCGATTTTTATCACGATGTAACAATATTACATTGTTTTATTCAGTGTTTTCAAAATAAACGCCCGGAAATACATATTTATTAAAAAAAATAAAGAAATGACAACAACAAAAAAGACAAGATATGAGGACCTTATAAGTTGCAAGGATACCGAGGCTGTGAGGACGCTCACAAAACTGCTTGGCAAAGGGTCGCCCGCGGTTCGAACCCTCCATGTTGAGTTCAGGAGAACGACACTGAGCATGAACGTCACTGAGCCGATCGGAACAAAAAGAAACTCAAGCTAAACACAAGACGTGCCATGGATGATGGCATACTAAATATTATATCAGTAGGCATTTACTTTAGGTAACAAAATGACGAGAAAAACAAATAATATGCGCATTTTTCACCGCTTATATTGAAGGCACATTTCCTGTTCGATTTACAAGTTCATACGCAGAGTAAATAAACTCTTCCACGTGGTATCATTAAGGCCTTCGCGTGAAAATATTTGTTACGACTTGTGAGGGCTAATGACGGGCTGAACGGCCATTTTGCTTCGGCGGCGGTGATCCGAGCACATCATGTATGCGACATTAGAACTAGAGATTCCGTGAACTTTTTGCGAAGCTTCGAAAGGATTGCAAAGGCTTTTTTGCGCTGAGGTTTCCGATTGTTTTCAACCTTCCAAGTTTTCACGCTATGAAATTCGACATTTTCGAATTTACTACGCTCAGAAATTCGACGATTTCCGAACTTTCGACCCTGCTAAATTCAAAAGTTCAACGAACTTCGAACTTTTAAACAAAAGTTCGAGAAAGTTCCAACCCAGTTCACCCCTATATATAGGGGTGAACTGTTGCCTCGAACATATACGTTTGAGGCAACAAATATCAATAATGCGAGATGTCAATGTATGAAGTGAAGTTGAAATTGCACTCAGATTCTTACCGTTAACTGATCGTGCTACTAACGAAATGCTTGTAAAGCGCCGATTGATCGCTTTAGGGTGGCCTCGTACCCCGCACCTTCTTCTTTTGACTTCCGCGCAGAGCCTCTCGCGCGCACAACTCCGTAGGTTGCCCCGAGGTATCCTGTAGGCCAACAGATTCTTTATCTGCATGCTCAAAATTCAACCGGGGCGCTTCGCTGGGAGCGTCCTTCGTAGCATTAGTTGTTTTTGAACGCGAGTCCCTCGATTCCCTCGCGTCAAGGGAAGACGCGCGCGGAGAGTGACACCGATGCGCTGCAGTGAACGCTGAACCGGCGCTTA